TCCAAGATGGGGGTGGTACCTGCAAAAGAGACTCCGATGCTCAAGTTAGTGTTTGTGGGAGTATGAGTCTCGTATAAATAATGCACGTACCTTTGTGTGAATTAGGGTTGTGTTGGGCCTTGGGCCTGAGATCTGTTATGATCTGATTAGATAGTAGATCTCGTCTGGAGCGAGATCCCCGAGATCAGTTATGATCTAATTAGATTGCGGACCTCATCTTGAGCGAGATCTTCGAGATCAGTTATGATCTGATTAGATTGCGGATCTCATCTGGAGCGAGATCTCCGAGATCAGTTATGATCTAATTAGATTGCGGATCTCGCTTAGGCCGAGATCTCCCAGTGCGTGCCCGAGGTTATTCCACGCTGTGATACCGAGCTCGAGCTCGGCATGGCAGTATGGATAGTACATTAATAATATCTTTATAAGTTGCTTCCACCAACTCAAAGGTCCTAAATCCACCACTAGCTGTAATCCTAGTGGTTCATATACTTGTTAGTTTGGTCACAAGAAATCAGGCTGTTACAATTATTAAACTACATCTTCACCGATATTACTGCAAGTAAGGTCACAAGGTGTATTTAAGATTTATTTATTTACGTGTAAACATGATGCTGTTTCTCATCATTCTACACCATTTTTTTTCTCACTTGTCCTTAATTTATTTTCAACAACATACCCACATTACCCCTACCCTTATGATTTCTTTCCCACTTGTACTGTCACAACAGTTCAAAAGAGTGGGGGTTCATTGAACCTAAGTATTCTTAAAATAGATGTCACTTCAATTGTGAGAAGGATAAAATAATACACTCGTGTTATGATATCATTGATCTACATGAAATTGATAATCAAACCCTTTCAAACCTTAAGGTTCCGGCCGGCACTACTACAGTAACAACATTTTACATTGGTTCTTTTGACTATTCTACGTCGGTTCTAAAATCGATGTAGAATGAAGAGATGTAAATTTGTGTATAATTTTACATCGGTTCTGTGTATAACCGATGTAAAATTATACTCTCATTTACATCTGTTCCTGTCTGAACCGATGTAGATTATTAATTTTTTTTAAAAAAAAATTGTTTGATTTTAGGTTCTTTCTAATTTAACCTGTAATAAACACATATATAATTCTCTGCCAGATTTTTGAAAATGTGCATGAAATTATATAAAGTAACAGGCGAAGATTATAATGAGTTATTATATAAAGTCATAAAAGAGAAATCTACCAATTTACTGATGTTATGAGGTAAAATTCAGCTGTACAAGTTAGAAGCAAAGTTTTAATTTCAGATTCCTTCCTAAAATAATTTCACCAAATTAATCTATTAGTTTTTAATATAATTAGTAACAAAAAAAATTGCATAATACGGCTTTTTGTCAAGTGGTATGATTCTTTGAATACTTCACACTATAAACATCATAATACAAGGGGATGCTAATCTAAAGAATGATGCTAGCTAGCCTGATTAGGCCATTACATAGAATGGTCCACCTATTTGACTGCCGAGCTTTGCATCACGTGGAAGACTCATGGAATCCTATTTTACTGATGTGTTTAGTCTGTGAACTTTTGTCAATTTTCATTTTTAGTCTCCGTATAAATTTTATTCATCTTTAGTTCTCGAAATTTTTATACATGAATTAAAAAAGTTTTGACACCTAATGGGAGAAAAAGGTTTAAAGACTACAAAGGCACAAGAAAGGGGGGGAAACCGAAAAACACTTCATGCTCTCATGGATACAATCATATATTCGAGAGAAAAAATGTCGGTAACATAGAGAAACTTGATAGCAGCCAATGTTTTTCTTAGTTACCCGTTTTCAATTAGGCTAATAACAAGCATGAACAGGGCACATCTGCGTAGTTATTAATGCATTTCAAATAAAAGTTCAATTCACTCACAAACATACCATCCATAAACCATCCCCCATCAGAAGATATGTATGCTTTGGTAATTATGAAGTCAAGGTCTGTCAAGATTTGCACGACTTCCAGCAGAATTCCAGGTTTGTTAACACTATCAACCTGTTATTTTTGGGGGGATAATAAAAATCCATCAGTAGAGGATAATATTACAGTTGCATATTGCATCCACTAATCTCCAAATAAATGATTCTTTCAAGAACCACGAAAAATGATACTGTGATGATAATGCAGTGGGAATCCTTATGGTATACATCATTTACAAGGAACAAAGAAATCTATACGGATTAAGTGGATAAAATTTTAACAATGTTTTTTTGTCTGTTTAATTTTCAGATAAAATTTTGTAACTACTACATGAACTTAAAAAGTAGAACAGAACGAAATATTTCCAAAAAAGGATTTCTGCAGAGCTTGGCAATGAGACAAACCACAGGCTATCCAAAAAGTGGTATCATCCTTAAGTGGATTGATCATGATTTTAAAGTAAAATCAAGTTTGACTGAAGTTTTGACCATAGGTTTAAATCACTGAGGACTAATGAAAATTATGAAATCTAATATAATTTAAAAATAAATGAAAATCAAAACTCTAGGTTAAAGAATCTTTAAATATCACATAAGCTGAGCCTCCTAAGAAGCTAGATAGCTAAATTAATCACAAACCACGACTTGCAAGAAGGTCATGGAAAAAAGTTCTAACTAATTATTTTGAGAAATTATACCTTGATCAGTGTACAATTATGGCATGTAGTGTTGTCCACAGAGACCCTGCGAAGTGTAAACAGAGTTCACCATCAACGTGTCACTTCTTTCATAGGAAATAATAAGTGTTTCTAAACAAGTTTTTTAAAAATAAAACAATTCTTTAAGAAGTAGATAGGAGTTGCTTCTTAAAAACTGTAGAAAATTGTTTACTTTAAAAAAAGTTTAGACAAACACATCAAAAAAATCATTTATGATCTGAATTTGTCTAACAAATTTCATTCTTATATTGTATATATTCAATCAGGAACCTGGTCAACCTGAAACCAAGGCCAACATGAGCATAGTAAAAGAAGAACATGCAGACAACCAATCAAAAGAACATGTGATAGCAGAATGCGGTACAAAATTAAGTTATCATGTTGATAAAGAGAAGACAGTAGAACCACACTTCATAGAGAATTTAGAGAATAAGGATGCAAGTGAAATCACATTACAGGAAGCCACAAATGCCAAACAGACAAGAGAATAACAATTTTGTCTTATGCTGAAGTGGCATCTTGCTCCATGTTCTCCTCATAGTAATCTGTCTCAACCAAAATCAGAACCCATTAATGCATAACAAAAAGGTTCAACATCAAGTAAACCAAGTAAAAAGCAGACATATTAAAATAGTAAATGTTGAAAATAAAAATTACATGAATTAAACTAATTTAGTACAATCCAATATATCTCCAATGCTTTGAAAAGAAAATCTCATCCAACCTGTACAGGGCGATCACCAAGTATTACTCTGCCACCATACTTGATGGCTTCTTCATATCCAACACAAAAGTCAGAGCCAGGAAGGACCTCAAGCTTACTAGCAATCTGTCAGAATTTTAAGGAGAGAAAAAGGAAGGTATAAGATAAGTATAGCATTAATAAATAAGAAAAGGGAAAATATTAATAATTGAAAATCAAATAAGGAGGATACATATGATTCTCAAAGAAACCTGCCTTGGCAAGGAGCCAGCCATAAAGTACTTCAAACATATTATGTTTTTTCAACATTGTAATCATTTGGCCCATAGTGGGTACCTGGGAGGAGGCAAAAAATAAATAAACATACAAAAAACAGATAACTGGATGAGAACCAAAAGTAATGATGGAATCAAGGAAAATAGCTGATGCTAAGTTTGAATATACATATGATAGTTTATCTTTCCAACTTTACACTCATCTGAAACTAATTGGAAAAGAAGAATATTGATATTCTCTAAGTGTAATTTATTTCCTCATATGTGTTATACTCTTATACACATAAATTACCAATTCGAACAAAACAGTTCAAAAGAGGGGGGCGGGGCAGAGGCTGGTACTCCCGACAAACGATACAATAATTAGAAAAACACCAAGTGAAAAGATAGAAACCTTATGATTCTTAAGGGCAAGCACTGCCACCCGACTCGCGCACAATTCTTGAAGACAACCTACACCAAACAAAGACCAGCCATAGAGTTTCAACATTTAAAATCCACAATTTTGGAATTAACTATCAATAGCCAATTTTAGCAATCAACATTTACAATTTAGGTTATAATGTTGACTTAATAAAGCTACAATTGATCCAAAAACAAATCAAGAAAGCATTTTGAAAATTTTCCCAAATATATATAGTTTTTATATTTAAATCATCAAGTTATATAAAAATCGAAGTCCATAATTGTTAGGCACAGCAAAATTCGGGAAATTATTTGGTACACTAATGAGTTTAAGTGCTATATTAAATCAAGACTCAACTACAACATAACTATTAAACAACAAAGCTTTCTTTATCGAATTTTGGCGTACCTGTTTCTCCAAAATTCAAGGCAACTTATGAAATTAAACATCAACGTTCTTTAGCAACGACCATACTCAACCAACCCGCTAAAAGATTTTGGTTTTAACTTTAGATAATTAATTCTCCATTTGTTAGAGTGCCAGATTCAGATCCCTAGTTCCACTCCACATGCCTTCTATTTTTGGGGGATTTTTGGTAAACGACGAACATGAACTCAATAATTCATAAATTTGCTACTTTAGTCGACAAGGCAAGTTGGAAGAAATGAGAAACCAATTCTACAAACTACAGGTTACGTTTAGTCAGCATCGTATACCAAAATAAATGTTTCCAGTAAAATAGGAAACAACTTAGCTTTACATTATTTTACCATAAAATGTCTTATGCTAAGACAAGGTCGAGTTCGAACCTTGACACAACATGTTTTACTTTACGTCGAGGTCGAATTCGAACCTTGGTCTGACTTATCTCGCTATTAATCAAGGTCGAGTACGAACCCTGAATACGTTTCGCTTAAATCCAAGGTCGAGTCCAAACCTTGATACTATTCATATCACACTCAAGGTCGAGTTCGAACCTCCGTACGATTCATTCTACTTCAGCCCAAGGTCGAGTTCGAACCTCAGTATAGTCCATTCAAGGTCGAGTTCGAACCTTGGCATAATCAATCCAAGGTCGAGTTCGAACCTCGGTATAATCCACTCAAGGTCGAGTTCGAACCTTGGTATAATCAACTCAAGGTCGAGTTCGAACCTTGGTATACTCAACTCAAGGTCGAGTTTGAACCTCGTATGATCCATTCGAGGTCAAGTTTGAACCTCACTGCGAAACATCTCAATTTCGTCCAAGGTCAGATTTGAACCTTGGAACAAATCACTTTGCCCTAAATCGGGTCTAAGTGTAAAGTACAAAAATACACAGCAAACGCTGAACGTGCTTTCCAAGTCGCGCAAACAAAAAAAAATCAAGCCTAAGGCGTAAACGCGAAATCAAAAGTCAAAACAAACTCATCAAAAGCGCAAAGGCAAACAACCAACAAATATATACATAACAACGTTTGCAGAGTTCAACACATGAATTCAAAGAAAAAATCAAGCAGAGAAAAATAAACTAAGCTATTACAAGGGCGGCCTAGGCGGAGGCATTTTCACTGGAGCTGTCCTCGAGGTCATCCTCCTTCACCAGCTTCCCAAAGCGGACCTCCTTCTCCACGTGCATGGCGGAGAAGTTGAACCCCGGTGCGAGAAGCCTAGCCTGGCGAGCTGCCTTGAGGAATCCTCTCTTGTGCTCAAACACGACAGCCCACTCAGTCTCCTCGAGCTTCTTCTCTAGCCCCGCCTTCACCTCCTCTAGCCTCGCGAGGTCCACCTTCAAAGTGGCAACCTCCTCTTCTTTCCCACCAAGAAGGACCTCGTCGCAAAGACGCTTCTCAACCGCCGCCACCAATTCAGCCTTCTGCGAGGTGACCTCGTACTCCAAGGCGCGCACTCAAGCCCGGGAAGAGCTGGAGAGTTCCTGCAAGTCACGAACCTGAGCAGCATAAGCCTCGTTAGATCTCAGAGCGATCTCCAAAGACTTCCGGATCCTCTCCACCTCCCTCCGAGTAGCTTGAAGCTCAACCTCGTTCTGCAGCTTGGCGTCCCCGAGAGCGCCCGCCAAGGCCCGGTTCTCATCCTTTAAGGCTTTGTTCTCCTCCCTCAAGGCCTTGGCTTCTTTCTTCAAGGGCTGAACTCGGCCCCTCAGTCTGACCAGGTCCTCCTGCTACTTGGACTACTTATGCTTCCAGTGGTCCACAATGGCCATAGACCTCTGCAAAAAGATCTGGGCAGCGTCAAGACCTTCCACGGGCCCGACCTCTTCGATCATCCCCTGGTCCTCCGAGCTTAGCGAACCCTTGGGAAAAAACTTCTCAACGGTCACCCCCGCACTCCACAGCGAATCCATGTCAGCTGAGGCACTCACATGGACCAATCGCACCTCAGAGCGGTCCTTCCCGAAGCGGTGGGCAATATATCGGCTCCGGGAGGCCCCCTACGATGGACCAGATGACGGCGCCGAAACTGCAGGCGTAGCTGTTGGGACCTCGGAACTCGACCTCTTTTCGCGAGCCCCGGCTGCAGTAGAAGCGGCAACAGGCATCCCCTGCTCAGCAACATGAGCACCTGCCTCGGGCACCTCCGAGCTTGGAGCCACCGGGGTCTCGGCAGCATCCCCTGCCTGCAGAAAATAGCCCTATGTCAGAAGAAAAAAGAACAACATAGAAGATAGAAGAAAAAATAAAAAGCAAGGTACTCACCACGGCGGCCTTGGCGACCTGCTCAACAACTTGGGTCACCACCTCGGCAGCCTGAGCAACCTGCTCAATGACCTGAGCCATCTCCTCGGTGGCCGCTTGCAGAGCCTCCTCGGCCGGCGGACTCCCAGTGAGGTCCACCGCGTCAGCATCAGTAGCTTTGGAGGTTACCTCCTCAGCATCCCGAGGGGCGGAGGTCCCCCCGACCTCCTTCCCCCCCCTCTTCCTTTTCCTGTTCGTCTTTAGGGGGGAAACCTCCTTCTCTTGAGGCTCTGGAACCTCGATCTCGGCGATGTTGTAGCGGTGCTTCAACTCACGCCATTTTTTCCTGCCCATTATGCCTGCGAACACAAAGAACATACACATAAGAAAAATAAGCTTTTACAAACCCTAACAATCTAAGAAAGACGGGATACTCACTCTCTAAGCCTCTCTCCTTGTACGCTGAGTTCGCAAGCGACAGGACGAGCTTGCAATCCAGCGGGCGAGGAAGTGATTCAAGGTTTTTAATGGCGGCCGCCTCTGAAGCCGTCAATTGCAACTCCCCCACTCCGTGAAATCTAGCCGGGACCGGCCGCCAGTAAAAGGGGAACTTCGGCAACTCACTGAAATAGAATTCCCCATCCTCTAACGGGTCGACGTCCACAAGCGCCACCCGAAAAAACTCATGTTTAAAATTTTTATACGACTGGGAGTAAAGGGAAAAAAGACCCCCAGCCTTACTCCCATTCAAGGACATCAAGCCATAAGGAGGAACACCCATTTTTAACTGGTAAAAATGAAGAAAAACGGTCAGAGACACCTCTATCCCCAAGGCCGAACACAGGACTTGAAAAGCCCTCAAAAAACCCCAACTATTGGGGTGAAACTGGCAAGGAGCCGAGTTGATGAAATTCAAAAAGTCACACTCAAATTGAGTGAAAGGAAGACAAACACCTAAATCCCTAAAAAGACATTGATATACATAGAAATGGGGAGGGTCAGAAGAACTCCCCATATACACACGCTCATCGGGCCGACAAGGCTCGAGCCGGATAAACTTGGAGACGGAAGAGTCACAGATCCTATGCGTTTTTCGAATCGCATTGATCTCCATAAACGACCTGAACACACTCTGGAACTCCCCCATGTCACACCTGACAAAGTCATAGCCAGGAATGCCGG